TAATTTAATTTTTTTTTATAAATATATTCTATAAATCTTCAAATATTAAATATATTTATTTAATTGTAAGTTAATATATAAAATTTTGTGTAATTACATTTTAATTCAAATGTATCAAGTTGGTGTATCATGCTTAATGAGACAACCAATATAATATAATATTAGCAGTTTATAATAATATCGGCAGTCTATAATAATATCGACAGTCTATAATGATATAGGCAGTCTATAATAATATCGGCAACCAAAAAAAATTTAGACATCTAGCATTTTGAAACTCTATAGTTAAATATTAAAAAAATTTTGACATACCATCTGCCGTAAATCATCTATAATTTAGACACCCATGTATAGATCCAAAGCTACCCAATCATGTGACAATATACAATCTAACTGAAAATTTCATGGTATATTGAACTTTATAATGCCTTTAATTTTTGAAACTTTCACAATACAATAACCATTTTATAGAATAATAAAGAAACCAAATTTCTGAAAAAAAGATAACAAATAATAATTGAAATTTAAACTAAGATAAATGAAACTATTTAATTTCATAAAAAAAAAAAGAAAAAAAAAAGAAACTAATTTTATAAAAAAAAAAAAAAAAAAATTAACGCCCAATCTGTGTTAATTTTAGATCTTTAATGCTATTTATGCTTTTTCACTTCTTTTCTAATCGGATTTAATCTATTTAATTACGAAGTATAATTAGAAACAAGAAAATAGGTTTATTTTTACTATTACTAACCATTGGTAGAATCTTATTTTCAATCCAGCTTTTAGAACAAAGAGACGCCCTTGATGTTTCTGGATCAAGAAAATTTCGAGTCTTTGATATAGTATTTTCTGCTATCAAAAAAGCCTGCTCACAGGCTACGCTGTTGCCTGAATTGAAAATAATCACTTGCTATACATGCTAATATTGGAAACTCTTTTGCATGTACTTGTCACCATAATGAAGGTTTAATAACTTCAGTACAAGATAAAGCCAAATATCGTTCTAGCTCATCAGTGGGCTTTTGCTTTGTTTCAGAAATTTGTACTGTGTGGTATCGTTTAAGCACATGGAAGTATTGGCGAGCTGTATCAACATCATCTATAATATGAGATGGTGGTTGAGTTGATTTATTAGATATAAAATATTGACCAAATATTTCTCTAACTTTATTAATTGCATTAGAGGTTTGCTGTCCAACTTCAAATAGTGAAAGCTTGGTTTGCAGATTAAGAATAGTTACAACAATTGTTGTATTATCAATTATATCCTTATATTCGCCAATTTTTTTATTAATTGAGGCGGCTAATATATATTGACTAGATTTATCACTTTCTACATAATTATTAAGATATTCTTGAATACTGTCAAATACCAATCGAACATCCACAATTGTTGGATATGAAGATGTGGATAATAATTTTGTAGTCTTTTCTAATAGTTTCATTAAGATAAGTATCTCCTAATTTCAAATATTCAAATTAATATTAAAACATAATATAATATTTACTCTCTCGAGTTCTCAGATTATTTTTAAAATTTTTATGTTATAAGAACCAAAAAATTAACTTTGTATAATCTAAATTAATTTTAACACTTTTACCTTTATTTTTATCCATTCTTCTGCCGTAGGCATTAAATTTTGAATTTCATGATTATTAACAGCTAACATTTGCAAAGCAATTTTCATTCGATCCAATTTTTTTAGCATAATACGTGCTGTTCCATCTCATTTCAACATCTAATTCTGGCTTCAAGTAGTCTAACTTCTGTACAGCACATAGATCTTTTAATTTATCACATAGCCTTGTTAATACTTTAATTTTTGACATTAATGCATGCACATTAGCAATTTCTTTTTCAATAACTTCTAACCCATAATGTGTAGCTAGATTTAATATATGCACAGTACATCTATAATAATGAAAGCTTTGATTATCCAATTCTGTTAGTAAGCTATTTGCCAAGACCCGCCTACAAACTAGCATGGCTGATTCGTTATCAGTGGTAAGGGCCAATGTTTTATCCAGAAGATTAAATTCTACTAAGACTTTATTAATTTCAGTTGCTATATTTACTCCTGTGTGACGCATGTTAAAGGGAACAATATCCAACAAAAATCGATGAAACTTCCATTGATGATCTATATAGTGAATGGTAATTCCAAGGAAAGCTTCATGATTAATAGTAGACGTCCACATGTCTGTTGTTAAAGAAACTTTGCCAGGAATTCTACGTAAAATATTAATTATATTTACTCTTTGTTCTTTAAAGTAACTAATGATCATATTTTTAACTTGATGATGATCAGGAACTTTGTAACGTATATCAAACATGTTGATTATTTCAATAAATTTTTTATTTCTAATGACACTAAATGGTTGTTGGTCAACAATTACCAGGTGATTAAAGCAGTATCACGATCTTTTTTTTGCTTCTCGGGCCATGGATCAGCATGATCAAATGATAGCTTTGATTGGTAAGATTTAATTTTTGGGATTTTAATATTATGTCGGCTACTCAAATGTCTTTCTAAACTTGAGTTTCCAGTTTTATCTGAAAATTTGATACTGCATTTCTTGTATTAGGTTCTTCAGCTTTAAATTCAAAATAAGACCATAAGGGTAATGGTTTTCTTGTATTCTTAGTCAAGGTTGATGAAGTTGTTGAAGTCAAATTAGTCTCTAACTCTGAAAAGAGCAATGCATCATACATTTCATTTTTATTATAATTATAATAATCAGTATTTTCAGAATCTATAACAATAGATACATCAGGATCAGTAATAATAGATGAGTCAGAATCCATAATAGTAATATATTGTGAATAGTCACGAAGAGCAAACTGCTTGTGGTTTATGATAAGAGACTTAAATATAATTTTTTTTGATTTTACTTGATTAATACTATCTCTAAAATTTACAGGTTTATACAAGGCTTGAATCTTTAGAATTTAGTTTGAGATTCTTTAACGCATAATGCAAATGGTTTTGCAACTTTTGGGAATTTTCACAATGCAAAAACATGTTATCTTGGATCTTCAGAATTTTAATGAATAGCACAATAATTTTCACGACCTAAAGATATATTTATCTTGAATCTTTAGAATCTGGTTGGAATCTTCTTTAATGCATAATGCAATAGTATCGCAACTTTTGGGAATTTTATAACGCAAAGATATGTTTATTACTATGATTAATGATTTTACCCAATTTTCAAATTACTAATGATGCAATATATTGGGTAGCAAATTTTGCACAATTAGCACAAAAGTAAATCAGGCTTCAACTGGTATCACATAATTCCTAATATAAATCTGATTTGAAACAGGTAATTGGCAGGTATAGGAGACTTTTAAGATACAAATTGGGCTCATATTCATGTTCAATATATATCAGAATGCTGATAGCTTTCTAGAAAGCTTGGCATTCTGATATGTATTGAACGCCTATATGAGCCTGATTTGTATCTTAAAAGTATCCTATATCTGGGATTACATGATGCCGATTTACTTTTATTCAAACTGTGTAGTTTATAAATTTGTGTTTTATATACTCTTTTGAACTATATAATTAATTACTTTTTATTTTTTTAATGACCTCTTTTTTTTGTTACCTGAATTTGGTAATTCCTAATATCAAGTTTCATATTCGATAGCGATGGGATCATTTCTTGTTATCTAAATTTAGCAATTTCTAATTCTATAGCAGATCTCACCTTCTATTATGTATTCTACAATTTTTTGTTTGATCTTGTTTTTATATCAGAATGTGAGTGTTGTCAAGTTGAAGTTTGTAAATGTAAAACCTGTGCATGTGAATAATTTTTGTGAACTTGAGTACTGGAAAATTGAATCACATGCTGTATACGATCAGTTAATCTTATGTAGTCAACAAGTTAAATAATAAAATAAAATTTAAATTTATTAATATTTTCTTTACTTTTAATACAAATAGCAGATAAAAAAATAGTATTGTGGCAAATTTATGAAATATGTAAATATTGATTTAAACTGAGATAATCAATATGCATCACTTTGATAAAACTTTTATCTAAGTAGGAAGATAGATTTAGACATGTTATCTATCTAAATCTAAGGTTCAAAAAATTTTTTTGGGGTTTAACATTATTGATTACAGACAAGTTTGTTTTCTGTTAGTAACATTATACAAGTATTTTCCCAAAATGCTTGGAACATCTATCATAAATTCTAAAGTTCTAGATTTGAACTTATGAACTAGGCTCTTAAGTCCAGAACTTAGAACCAGGTCCTTAAGTCTGGAACTTAGAACAAGGTCCTTAAGTCTGGGACTTAGAGCCATGTCCTTAAGTTCGGAACTTAGAACCAGGTTCTTAAATCTGAGACTTAGAACTAGGTCTTTAAGTCCAAGACTTAAAACTAGGTTCTTAAGTCTAGGACTTAGAACCAGCTTCTTAAGTTCTATATTTGAACTTAGAACCAAGTCCTTAAGTTCAGGACTTAAGGACCTGGTCCTAAGTCTAAATATAGGACTTAAGAACTTAAAGACAAAGTTATAAATTCTGAACTTAAGGACTTGAAGTATTTTTTAACTTAAGAACTTAAAGATCAGGGTTTGAGTCCTGGACTTTACTATCTCTAATTAGGACCTATAGCAGACCTATAGATCTAGGTTTAAAAATTAGGATCTAGTTTTTAAAAACTAGATCCCAAAACCAGATCCTAGAGTCCCGGACCCAAGGACTTTACCATCTCTTACAGGGGTGACCAACCTTATTACACAAATTATAAAAATCTCTTAAGAGGTGATAACCAATCAAAATCACATATTTTCGAAATAAAAAATCATAAAAATATATTAAAAACGAAGCAAAAAAATTAATTAAAGACTATATAATAAAGTTCATAATAAATGCTCTAAACCTGGTTGCAATAGAAAAGTATTTTTATTTATTTATTTATTAATACGTCTATTTATTAACTAACTAAACTATCGTTAATTAAAATTTAATAATCTTTGATATGATAAAACTCTATGCTCTAATGGTTTACTAGAATACGTGTTTCTTGCTTGTTCACAACTTTACTTATTAATGTACTGCTGCTTGCCTTGTTAAAAACTATCCACTCATGCTTTCTTTTATCTTTTGATAATTTTTCTGTAACCATCTGCATTGCTATACTATTGTTTTCTGCATAAACTTGGTACTGGCTGCAAACTATTCTTTCTGACAAACTATCTAACACTATTTTTTCGATCTCTCTGAACTATTTTGCTTTTTGGCCTTTTAAGCTTCTTGATCTGAGTTTGCAGAACTTTTTTTATGATATCATTGACTTGCCTTTGGCGTTAAACAACTGATTTAGAAAAAAGAGTTTGTATTTTAGAACATCACTACAACTTTGTTTAAATGTTCTTTCACTAAGTATCTCATGAATTAGTGGCCCTGAGCCCTGTATCTATCATATTTTGTCACTTGACTGAATTTCTATCTTTAGCTCTTTTGCTTTTGTTAAAATTAAACCTGCTAGGTTGTGTTTCTATATTCTTCTAAGGCTGCTTGTTAGGGACTCATGCCAGTACTTATTTGTTAATCCTGCTATTGCATAGATATGTTTGACTCTTATGTTTGTCAATTTGCCTACCTGACTTGTACTGTTTAGTCTGTGCTGCAAACTTGTTAATTGCTGGCTGAAAATCTCCTAACTTAACAATCTACATCTCCCCAAACCTGTGTGTATTATCGTGCAGTTCGGGATTGTTGATGGGAACTCTTGTTTGTTTTTGATTAGTCTGATTAGTAGCTGATACACCTCATTGAGGTTGGTCTGGGAAACTTTGGTTGTTTGTAACATGTATGCCAATTTAGGTACTATGCATATATTATTCACATAAATTAGCTGGCTGATTGTGAGCTTCTTAAACTATAATATTTATGTGAGCTGCTTTACAATAGCTTTAGCTTTCTTAATCACTAGTGTTTTTTTTAGCTCAGTCTTTAGCCAGATTCCTAACAACCTTGTTAGCGATTTCTTCCTCTCTGCAGCTACTTGGACCCTGTTTATTATAATGTTTCTGTCCTCTATTTTCAGACTTGAGTGTATTACGATAAGCTTGGTTTTTCCCTCATTAATTTGGATATCGTTGAATACAAAAAACTGCTAAGCAATTTATAGTATATTGTTTATTTGCTCTTTACTTTCTGCCACCCATGTTGTGTCATCCGCAAATACGATTGCTGCTTGTCTAACTATGTCCTCTCTTACTTTGTTTGTTCGTATATCAAGCAGTTCATTTTGTTTAACTTTGTATCCTAACTTGGAATCATCTTGTATTCTTCTTAGTAGAGGATCATAGAAGATTCTCCAGATTAAGGGTGAAATTGTTTTGCCCTGTTTTATGCCATCACCAGCTACAAATAGCTCTGTTATGTCAACACTTGTGATAATTCTTACTTTTCTTTTATCAAAAAGTTCTAAGATAAATTCTATTACTCTTTTTGGCAGCTTTACTCTTTGTAGTGCCAGTTGTAGCATTTTAGTTGAGACTGAATTGTATGCCTTCTTCATGTCTTGAAATACCAACTATAGCTCCTTATTCTTCTCTTTTGCATCCTCTCTTAGCATTTCCAGAACATAAATTGCCTCTTCTGTTGAACAACTAGGCAACTCTGCATAATTCAGCCCTTTTAG